TTTTTTTTTTTTTTGTATATATCTGTCGATTTATGATGAGTAGGATATGTCAGAAGAGTATAATGAACGAGATCTAGGCTAGGTGCCGCAAGGTTTGGCTTTTACAAACTGCGATCTTGAAAAAATTTTGCGAAATGGAGTAAAGATGCGATTTTCAGAAAAACACGAAATCCAGTTTCTGATAATATAGCAACCTCCGAATATGCCTAACGCAATACTGGTAGGCTTCGCAAGATTCGGTTTTCCAAAAAAAAATTTGGGAGATAGAATGGAAATGCGATTTTCGGAAAAGAATAGTTTCAGTTTCCGAGAATATGACCACTTCTATCGTTATCCCAATATGCCTAGAAAACGAAATACTAACTTCAGAAATTTCGGCTATGTCAGCGAAATATCAGAGAAACGAAATGCTACTATCGGGAATTTTCAGACAAACGAAATGCGATTTATCAGAATTTTTCAGATATTTGTTACGTAAAAACGAACTACTAATACCAGAAATTTTCAGATAGAACGAAATGCGAATATCAGAAAGTTCAGATAGTTGTTGCGAGAAAAAAAATTCAGAGATTTGACTAAGTCCTACTTGCGTTACTAATGAGTGATCAATAGGTCGCAAGCTGGCTACTTGATTGAGCGGGTCCTCTGTATGAGAGGTCCGCTCCGATACCAACCTGTTGCATACCGTATAGGTGCAGACCAGAACAAGAACCGACCTTTCAATACAAGTATAAGATAGCACAGCGGAAGACTTAGATGCTAGTGATCCAAACAATCAATGTTGTAATGCAGCCCTGAACATACATCATCATCATCGTTTCATAGTGTGAATGGGTCTGGCGCTTCACACAGGAAGACAGCGCCAGCCCAGAACATRCACARMCGAGGAGGAAGGGGATAGACGAAGAGGAGGGGGAAGATGGGAATGTCGTCAACACCAAGTCTTCGGCATAAGCCCAAATAGTCTCTCGTCGAACTGTCTGAATCCCAAATGTCAAGTCTGGATCAATGTCGTCAAGTCTCAAGTCACAACTCTGTCTCTCTCTGTCGTAGTCTGAGAAGTCAGGTGGCGAGAGGGTGAGTAGAGAAGGTGGACTTAGAAGAGGAAGAAGAAGAACTCTCTCTCGCTCTCTCTGTGTCCAGTACTAACCTGTGAAGTTGGCGCCTTGATGCAGGTACCACGAGATGGAGCTGGAGCGATGGCGTCACAGGTAAGTAACGCTGGCCTCCGCCAGCCTCTCTCCACTCTACGACCTACCTCCTACCARCGCCCAGCGCTGAAGACTGCAGCTCAGCTATGGCGCCCAGCGCCGAAGACTACAGCTAACTCTACCACTACGGCCTAGCGCTGGAGACTACTGCAGCGCTCCTCCTGAGTGCTGCGGCCGAATCCTGAAGACTACCTCTCCTACTGACTACTGACTCACTACCCGTGAAGTGCATGGGTCCTTCCTATGTACTACGGGTGTGCCTCTTGAGCCTGCCGACGGAAGGCAGGGGCTGCAGCTCCTGCTCGAGCATGTGAGGAACAGGCTATTTTGGGCCTGTTCCGCATTCCGTGCCTGAGTCTTAGGGGCAGGTCGAAATAATGAGGGCCTGAAAATGGCCCTCCGTTTCAGGCTGAACCTCTGGGTCTGCAAAGACCCAGAAATAGGCTGAAACGAGGTAGGGCCTTCAGGCCCTCGTTTTTCAGCATTCAGGCTGAAATGAACGGGGCCTGTAAGCCCTAAGTTTTAGGCTTTTAGGCTGAATGTCCGGGACGGGCCCTACCCAGTATGCCACACATCTGGCTCCCTTTGGTCGGATAGACCAGAGTTTGTTGGTAGAAGTAGGGTAGGTACAGATGTACTCAGATCGAGCAGAGGGCTCGTTTGGAACCTTTCAGACTAACACGTTCTATGTTGGGGGGTTGGACCCACATTGAGCTGTGCTATAAGTTTCTGGATCGAGCAGAGGGCTAGGGGCGTCTCTTTTACACCAACAACACTAACTAGGCATTGGACCCTCATCAGGCTGGGCAATCTGGCCCAGTGGACACTATTTCATATCCGGGTTGTTTGTGAGGATTCCCGGCCCCATGTTTTGTTGTTTTTCCGTAATAAAGGAATCCTCTCTTTTTCCCCAAAAAAAAAAAAAAAAAAAAAAAAAAAAAAGAGAAGGAAAAACGTAAAAGAGAAAAAAAATGAAAGAAAAGAAACTGCTTTGCTGTCAGCACGTGTATCCCCTAGGGCCTCTGGGTTGTTATCAGCCCGTGTATCCCATTGGGCCCCTGTATACCCCCGTTGCACAAAAGACAAAAATCATGGCGATGTATCTTTCCATGTTCTAGCAGAAAATTCATTCTCGTTTTGCACATTTGGAGAGTAGTGGAGGGAGGCCCTATTAAGCGTGAAGGCCCCCTCCCTCCACTACTCTCGAAATGTGCAAACCAAGAGTGAATCTTCCCTTAGAACATGGAAAGATACAGCGCCACGATCTTTCTTTTTTTCTTCTCGTTTCGGTCTTTTTTCTTTTCTGGAAAACGGCCTGGCCGTCCAACGTGGATGACTAGACTGCAGTTACAAACTTTTCTGCATGTCAAGAGTTTGGCCTGCAGTGTAAACTTCAGAGTGGACGGCAGTTTGAAATGTATTTAGAAACTCAAGCCATGACAGCACGGTGACCTAGTTTTCTCAAATTGAAACGTAGCGAGGCCAATCACCACTCGCCCGCACACAATAAACAGAACATTCATCACCACGCGGACATAGCTGATGCTCAAACGCTCCGACACATTTCGGCATGTCAAGAGGCTTTCCTCTCTCCCGCATCCACCCGTACTTTCCACCCAGAGCAAAGAGGGCAGTTCTGGCCTTGCCCTCTGCACATATACTGACACAACATCCACGTCCACTGCTCAACAGGACATGCGACTGCAACTGACTGCGCAACGCTTGCTAGGCTCTGCTGTAACGGAACAAACATGCGTGTATCCCAAAATTTCCAACCTGGCCTCCTCACGTGTGCACCTGCCTGTGCAGAGGCTACTGTTTTCCACGTGTACTGGCAGCCCAGGAAAGGTTATTCGGGTGCAAGGAAGGCACAGCCTGGGACATATTCCTGAAACCCAAGTGTTCCGTATCTCCGATCAGGTAGTACATACGTCATGCACCACTTTCCCTGTCAGGCCGGTTCGAACTCTGCGGTCCCCGGCGGCTCCTCCAGATCTGTAACAACCTGAGACTTCGGCCGATGTAAACCTAGTACTATTGTACAATCCGTACCTCTTGGTACTGGGACCACCTTCCCAGTACTTCCGCGGAAGTTTCGCCCCTTCCGACTAGTACACCGGAAACAAAAGACCCTACCAAATTGCACAGGCTCTATCCATGTAATGTACATCTCCACTAGATTGTAAAGGCTATGGGGCTCACTGCACTACGCTTGAAACTTGAAGTTTCAAGAGTGTGGCATGGCTGCATGCACTCTTGCCACGGGGGATGCCCAAATTTAAACCTAGTATTCGAGAGCTGTCAGACTCACTCTCGAAAATGTCGAGAGTGTGAGAGTCATCGCTGCACTAACTAAAGAAAGGCACTCTTTATTTTTTTTTTCCAAGTACTGTCAAAGGTCACTCCCGAGTGTCACTCTTGATGATTCAAGAGCACCAGCCTGCAAGTTCATTTTTTTCAAGGGAGGTCGATAGGACCCTACGCGCCCCATTGTTTTTCGAGAGCTTACCTGGAGTCTGGGTGGACAAACCTTCGTAGTTTTTTTTTTTTTTTTTTTTTTTCCAAGTTTGTGTCACGTAGTGCTTCCTAGCCTTCAAGAGTTGAAGAGTTTAGCGTAAGTGCAGCCACAACTGCACTATCCCGCATTTCAAGAGTCCGACAACTCTCGAACGACGGTTAAACTTTGTCAGGAGTCTAGTGTAGTGCAGCCAGGCCCAATATCTGTCTAATGTACAACCCAGTTCTGCACGGTACCGGGGCCACATCTGTGCATCCCGCTAGATCCTATGGGCTAGACTATCTCCCCTGGGATGGAAATTCCCAGGGAATCCCAGCCCTACCTACTCCGCTCCTGCAGTCAAACATGTTGCATGAATTTGCTTGCCTTATCCCTAATGTTGCTGTTTATCACGGTCCAACTGCAGGTGTTGCTGTTTCTGGAAAAAACTAACCAGCAAAATGAAGGACCAAGGGTGCGTGGTGGGAAACCCGTCATGGCAGCTCAGGCTCTGTGCAGGGTGTTGGAACAGAGTGGGTGAAAGGGTAGCTCGATATAGCAGCTAATGAGTGTGAGAACAAAGCAATCTATACTATAGTTAGGGTGAAACCCAGGGAATTACTGATAGCCGCACCATCTTGAGTAGTATGAGCCTATGAGGGTATCAAGAGGCGGTGGGAACGCTATTGGTTAGATGCTATGAGAGAACCGGTGAGGAGCAAACTTGAGCTGTACCCATTGTGTCCGCTAAAACTATGAAGGTCCAAGGGTGCGTGGTGGGAAACCCATCATGGCAGATCAGGCTTCTTGCAGGGTAGTGGAATAGGGAGGGTAACAGGGTCACCCCTGCAGGCGTGATCAATTAACTGCTGTATGATTGTTCCCTTTTTGGGAGACAATATCACCACGTTTAGTTTGAAGTTGGTACGAGTTTGGGTTGAAATTTGGGATTATTTGGGAGTATTTAGTTTGTTTTCGGAATAATTTTAGGGTTAAAACTGTGTAAAAAAAAAAAAAAAAAAAAAAA